AATGTTGAGAATAAAAAAAATCAATTACTAGAAAATCAATTTCCTTTAGCTCTTTCTCCCAGATCTCACTTCATTCATTCACTAAATACTGAAGATCCACTACATACAAAGCAATATACTACTGCAATAAGACATTTTTATGAAGGTACACTCCAAATAGCTCTACTTCTCTTTCCAGCTTCCCATGTCCCTGCCTCTATGAAGCAGGCATGGTTACAAAAGAATGTATAAAAAAGAGATCTCCCAAAGAAGATTTTACAGATTTAAGATAAAGTCCAATGTGTGTTTTTTATTAAGTTGTTTTTCACTTACAGGCTAAGGAAGATTTCAATGGCTGCAAACAATTCAGGTAATTGTAACAAAAATCTCATCAGTCTCAATGCTTACAGTAGCAATGATTTTTTTTGAGTTGTGATAAATGACTGATGCCCACACATTACAACAGAAGTCTCTATGTAATAAGAGATAGCACTTACACTAAGGTTTATATGAAACACTGAGTTTCAGTCTGGTGGAGGGTCTCTATTACAGCACAGATTTCTCAACGATAGTGTAATGGTTCTAAGTATAGAGCCCACAGTTAAACAGACATGAGTTCCAATATCAGCTCTGTTACTGAATGACTTTGGACAGAGTATTTAACCTTCCCAAATCTTAGTTTCCTTATCCATAATATAGGGGAGGAATACCTGCCTTGTTAAGTGTTACTGTAAAATTCAAATGGGTTTAAGAATATAACATATATAGCCCAGCTGGTGTTGCTCAGTGAAATTAGCAACCTATGAACCAGGAGATCATGGTTCGATTCCAGTCAGGGCCCACGCCTGGGTCGCAGGCTTGATCCCAAGTGGGGGGACGTGCAGGAGGCAGCCAATCAAAGATTCTCTCTCATCATTCATGTTTCTATGCCTCAAATCCCAACTCCACAACTTATTTACCATGCATCAATCTCAAAGGATGCAGTGAGCATGGATGCCCTCAAAGAGGGAAAATTTGACTGAGACCCTGAAGAGCTGAAGCTGTAGGCCTGGCAGTACTACATAATGGTTAAATCCACAGGGTCTGGAATCATTCAAACCCAGAGTCAAATCCCAACTCCACTACTCACAAAACTGTGTCACCTTGGGCAAAGTTCTTATCTATAAAACTAGGAATAAAAACAGTAACTATCTCCTGGGCTCTCATGATTAAATAGATAATGCATTTAAAGCACTAAACACAAAGCCTTTAAACATGATAAATAAACATTAGCTATTATTATTAATTTGTATTATTATCATCAGGGTATGGTCTTTGACCTCCAAGATCTTATACTTCAGGCCCTTGAACTCAGCAATTTCACTCTCCAAGGCCCAATTCTGTTCAAGATAACTTAATGCCAAAATCCCATAGGGTATGTTAAATAATTCTCCCTCCCTGAGCCACACTGCAATCCATCCAATCTCTCCACCAAACTACAATAATAAAGTTTCAGGTAACAAAGTATATAATTCCTCATCCCCTCTCTCCCCCCCTCTCTTTTTCTCTCTCTCTCACAAACACAAACAGTCCTCTGTTTAATATAAGTTTCAATTCCCTATTATTATTATCACCTAAGGGAAATCAGATTCAGTGGCCCATAGAAATGAGTCAAGAATTCAGAAAAGTCTTAAGCAGCTGAATCACTCTACATATACCCTTAGATGAATTAGGGTAACAGTGCAGAGTACTGATTGCCCCATGGGAACCTGCCGGAAGCCGGTCCATCCTTGCTGCTTGACACAGTCGCTGCAGGGAAGAAACATCTGCACAGTATATGTTTCAAGGGAACTGGCGTATACGGCATACTGTTCTTAATATGTTTGCTCCCCTACTTAGTGCTATGTGTTTTAACCAAGGTCACCTCTCCAAGAAAGGTTGTTTCCCCAGGTAGGGGTTTTTCCCTGGAGTTAGGGAGGGAATAAAACCCCTTAACTAAGTGCCAGGCGGGTAATTAATCACTTTAACTACGAACAATCACGCTTAAGCTACATAATCTTTACTTAAAATAATCTCCTTCAGTTACTTCCTTGTAGCTTAATAGAACAATAGAGTAACCTTGGAATGGAGATAAGAAACGCCCTAACCTTTGGAATAGAATGGATAGGATTAAAATCAACTGGTATAAATACAGATGTAACAGAATAAAGACAGAACTTGGCTGGAGATCCTGGCTAGAGAACCTGGCTACTAGGCTGCTCAACTGAACGCTGTCTCCTTGTCATTCCTTCTTCGCCGACTCCATCCACACCTTTGGGAACCCCTGGACCTGCTGGGGTTGGACCCCAATAGGAACCACTTCAGATTTTCCCCTGAGGAGCCTCACCTGTAACTTCAGAGATGAATTCTTGGGACCAGTCCGTCTCATTATAATCCTGCGTTACATCCACAGCATCTCCAGCTGCAAGAAATTCCTGGGCCCAGTTCTCAGACAAGGCCAAGTCTGCCACCCCAGGGGCTGGAGATAGAGAAGGAGAGAACTGAGAAACAAAAGAAATGCATATCATTCTCTCATGCCTAAGGAACCCTGAGTGCCCATGAAAACACTGTTCCTTTTGTCTCCTTCTGCATCTCAAGTTTCCCAGTCCCAGCAGCATCCAAATATGGAACCCCCTTGGCTCTATCTGCACACAAAAAAAAATGGTGATCTCCCCTCCCATCAGACTCTGGACCCACCTCTCTGGGGTGCCTGGCGGAAACTTGACTGTTCAATCTCCTGCATCTCTGCCAGGAGGTCATCCATCTTGAAGGTCTGAGGGGCACGCGATATAAGTGGTTCATTCTGGTCCTGGAGGAATTCGGCCACCAACTGTCAGAAGAGAGATGGTGAGATGAACCCAGCAAGAGGCAGGGCCATGGGATGGGGGTTACTAATGTCAAACAGAAGGAAAAGAAAACACAGAAACTACAGAATTGGGAATACGCCAAGAAATACATTTTTTTAAAAATAAGCAAGAGGGCTAAAGCAAATTTCATTTGGTCAGGAAAGTCCAAAGACTGAAATGTGGGTGAACCAACTTTAAAGTAAAAACACAATGGGCAACAGGAAAATGAAACAGAAGAGACTAGAATACTTACCTCATCTTCAGAGGCTACCCCCAAAGGCTTAGGGACCTAGACAGAAGGGAGACAACAAAACCTCTGTGAGCCTCCTTTCTTCACCTATAAAACAGTTGCCTCCATCAATGTAAAGATGTACAGTGCTTAGCATGTTGCTTAGTAAACACTCGTTGATTGAGTGGTAACTATTCTTTGCAACACGATGGGCAGTGATTTTCAACCTTTTTTCATCTCATGGCACACACAAACTAATTCCTAAAATTCTGCAGCACACCAAAAAATAAATTTTCTGCTGATCCGACCAAAAAAAATAGGTATAACTTTGTTTTTTGTTAAATGTATCTTTTTATTGATTTCAGAGAAGAAGGAAGAGAGCGATAGAAACATCGATGATGAGAGAGAATCACTGATCGACTGCCTCCTGCACACCCCGCTCTGGGGATCAAGCCCCCAACCCTGGCCTGTGCCCTGACCCGGCATCCAACTCTGACCTCCTGGCTCACAGGCGGAAGCACAACCAGTGAGCCACAACCCGCTGGGCTAGGTCTCATTTCCATTCATTCACAGCGGACGGCTATTGTGTGGGCTCCTGTCATTTTTTTATTTGACAATCTAAAGAGAAAGAGGTCAGTGCCCCCGAACACACAGTCGGGTACTGCATGTCTTACAAAGTCTGGCCGCGCACTGAGAAAGCAGCTCGGTGTACTTCCTAATAGGCACCCTCTACCCCACGCCACTCCTGGGCCCTCCGACCCAAGAACACTCACCGCCTCGGAGGCTGGGGTCCCGGGCGGCCAGGGACCGGGCCTCAGCCCCTCCTGCCGAAGGGCCTTGTCCTGGGTGAAGTGCCCGGCCAGCTTCATGAGCGGGTTGGCACCCCCGCATTCGGCCTCCACCAGCTCCCGCATCGCCATGGCGACCGCCAGCTCTCTGATGGGCAGAGAAGGTGAGGAACTCAGGTCCCGCAGTCACACCCAAACCACCACCCAGCCAGAATCTGGAGGAGGCGGACCAACGTCCGCCCCAGGTTAGCCCCTGGCCCTTCCCCACCTGTGCCTCCTGCTGCGGCCTCACCACGGTCAGAAGTCCGAGAGGGGACCGCTGCTCTCCTGCCGCCCACCCACCCCCAG